CTGTTTCAAGGATTTTGGCATTCAAAGTGTGATAGATCATTGAAGTGTTTTGCACAATGGTGGAGATGTTGCTCATGGCTTGTTTCTCTTGATGATAGACTAATGGTTTTTGTTGCTACATTGATTAATGAGTTGGTTTTAATTATTCTTGGCTTATGGAATTCATGAGCTGTGCATGTATGATTTAAGGTCTTAAACTTGTGATTGTTTATGGTTGCTACATAAGAATGGTGAAAATATTTTGGGCTTGTATGCATAAACTATTTAAAATAAATTTAATCCTTTTTACTTTTTTTAGTTAAATGTTCTACCAAAATAAATTATTTCTGTATAAGAAAAGTAAAATCATGAAAACCTCAGAACACACGAAATATAGGAAAATACACGAGAAAAAGATTTATGCCGCAGAAGGTAGGGACAAGCGAGCAAGCGGTGGCTTGTACACATGGCCCGCATGGTTTGACGCAGTAGCTGCCTGTCCCTGAGGGGGCACGTACTTGACGGTGTTAGGCCCCACGGTCACCGCCTTCTCGCATCTACGGCTCAACAACCCCCGGTTCTCTGACTTCTTCGTGCCGTCATTGCCATGTTCTGCGAGATACGCCAACAGAGCCTCTCTCGATCCCGTCTGCGGTTGTCATGCTCCACTCTATGCTAGCCTCGGCCGGCTCGTAACACTCCGTCATCATCGGCGAATATGGACAGCTGAACCCTGATGAACCGTTGGATGCAGCTGCTATCGATCTTCTTGTATTAATGCTCGAGGCCTCTTCCAACGAATCTCGACGACGGTACATTGGATATGATGTGGTCTGGCTCTGGGTGGTTGTGGAGAAGCTCTCGATTTCGAACAAGTCTGAGCTGGCATCACTGCCAACATAATCGTCAGTTATGGTAATCCCGGACACAAGTTTCTTTGGAACAGAAATAGATGATGATTCGTCAGAAGGTCGGAACACCTCCAACGAGTCTCGAGGTGGATCCTCATGATCGTCAAGAGAATTATTATTAGTATTCACTGCCATTTTAATGTTGGATGATGCTGGCTGTTGATCAAGTATTGGAAACGTGAAGCCAGCATTCCCTGAACCAACACTTATCATCAAAGGTCTAGCAGTTGCAGAGGCTACCATACGCTGTCCTAAGCTTGAATGAAAGTGATGATTGTCTGCTGAGATCCTGTGAGGATTATAGGCTAGTAGTATCTCTTCCCGTTTATCGCCCAAGGTTGAACTTTTTGTGCCCAAACTTTTCTGATCCTCTACCTTGAGTTTCTGATTCATACTCAAGGGTGTTTTGGACTCAACTTGAACGGATTTCTTGCCCGAGCAAGGGCACCTTCGCTCCCAAAGCCATTTTATTTTTCCAGACCCTTTTCTCTTGTCATTAGTTGTAGGATTTTTCATGGTTATATGTTGGAAAAAATTAATATAAGAATATAAATAATAAAAAATAATTTTAGTTTTAAGAGGTGAAAAATATTTTTTTAAAGATAATTATATCTCAAACTCTTCAAAAGTCGTAAATATGATTATATTAAAAGATCTATTTATAATGAATAAATATATATAAATTTTTATTTAAATGAATATAATTTTTTATATAATCATGATTTTTATGAATAATAATTTATTTACATTCAAATAATTATAACTATTTATCATATAATAATTATTTTTATTTATAAAAAATTATCTACCAAACAAGGATTCAAACTTTAATCCAAAACCACCAGATCTAAGAGATTGGACAATCAGCAGATCATTTATGTCATCAGGGTTTCCAACATCCCATGGAAAATTATTAAATATATCCCCACAAAAACGTCTGATACAAAGTCTTTTTTTTTTTTTTTTTTGCATCTTACTCTTACAATTAAGTTATAATAATAACTATCCAGTTAACTTTAAATAATATAGTAAATAATTTGACGATAAATAAATTGATTTGATAAGTCATGAGGCCTCCTATCATTTTGGTGTTTTTGTGGAACCCAATTTCCGTAACTGACAAAAACCCTTAACATGATAGGAATGTGCAAAGACAACTTGGTGGCCTTATCCAATCTTTGAGAAGCATGATTGATTTTGGGAGCTTTGAATGATTTTTTATTTTTTTTTTGTATTATCATATTTTCCCAAATTTTCCGTGATTTCGTTTTGTATATATTTAATGTATTTATATTTTCTAGAAAATAAATAATGACTCATTGATCAATACACATATTAATCTTCTAATTTCTGTGGGTTTTGGCAAATAGGTGGCTCATGCATTTTTTTTTCTTAGTATTTGTTCTTCTGAGCTTGTTTAAGGGAGCATTAAGCTAAAGTGCCCATTTTACTTCTATACATTGCTTTCATTTCAATTTTATATATAAAATTTGATTAAAGTTAATGTGCAAGCCAAATAAGCTTTGAAACATTAGAATTGAAGTTTAAAAATTATGAATTCAAAAAAATTTAAATGTGTAATTTTTTTTCTAGCAAATGAATATAAAAATAGAAGTTTAAGAATAGATTAAAATTAAAAAAAAAAAAAAGTTAATATGCAAGGTCCATACCAATGTATTTAGAGTTCTATTTTATAGTTGCAACTTGAATTGATTTCAAACATATAAATAATTAAAATGTAACATCATTTAAAACATTATTAATGTATATAGAAGCAAAATCATGTTTCTTTTATTTAAAAAAATAAATATTTCATGTATAATCCTTCGAATTTAAATTTCACTTGCCTTTCTATCTTATGTGGTTTTTGCTTTTATGCTTGCCTAAAGCAAACAATAAAATCACCATGTTAATGCTGACGGATGCCCAATGCCTTTTTTTTTTTTCCTAATGTTTTTGTTATTTACTTTTTTACTTTTTGAAATTTTGCTACAAAGTAAAAGTAGAAAGTAAAACAAATAAAAGTAGTATCATAAGTGATTTAAAATGGAACAAATAATTAAAATGTAACATAAATTGTATAACATAATTAGTGTAAATAAAAGCATAATCATTAATTTTAGGAATAATACCAAATAAACTTTTCAACTTTACTCAAATTTAAAAATAAGTTACCTATCATTTATTGTATGATAAAATTAATGTTGGGACTTTTTATTTCATTTTAATTAATATTTTAAAATCATGTTTAGGATACAAAATTATGATAAGATATGATAAGATAATATTATGAATAATATTAGATTAAATAATATCATCTTATTTTTTATTTGATAAATGCAAAAATTAAGATAAGATAATTTATTCAATTAAAATTATCATTTTTTAAAGTTTATATAATTTAAATTATTAATGTAATTTTAAAAACTATAATAAGGACATGTAAATTTAATAACATTGATTAAAAATAATCCTCTTCACTTTGAGAGGATTAAATCTTCTTATACCAAAAGAATGATAATTATCCTTATAATCCTATATCTTTTCAATTAAATACAAATCAAATATAATATAAAATGATTATTATATTATTCTATACATCATCTTATATACTAAATATGATCTAAAAATATAAAATATTCTTTTCTTTTTGGGTAAAATCTTTTTCGTTAAATAGTGTAATTTATATAAAAAAAAATGCTTACTTAGCTTTATTTGATGAGTTAGATGATAAATTTTTGAGAAAATGCTATTTAAACAAAATTATTGTACTTTAACTTTATTCATCTATTTTCAATATTTAATGAGTATAATTACAATCATTATCAGAAAAATAACTTTTACCAAAAGAATTTTCTGTAAGTAATAATATGCTTTCCATCAGTAATAGTATTACCAACAAAATTTACGATCGAAAATTTCTGTCAATAATAGACAAATCGATAATACTATTTCATCAATAATAGATAAATTCTATTGATAATTACAAACAAAATTTTTCATCAGTTCCATCAATAATAATTCAATTTATAATAAAGATATTTCTGGTAGTGAATAAAATAAAATTCACAAACTTAAGTCCATGCAATAAAAATCGAAAACTTATTTTAGTTTCAAGTAAAGTTTGAGGATTTTGTTTGTATACTATTCCTTAATTTTATCAATAAAAATTTACATATTTTTATATAATTTTTCAAAGTTTTTATTTGTTTTGATACCCAAATGTGCTTCTTTTATATTTTTGTTTAGAAAATAAAACAAAGCATATATATATATATATATATATAAACATATTTAACGGCACTTTACTTCAGAAGTTGAGGTATAACCCCTGAAAATTTTATATTAATAGCATTTAAATCTATTACTATTATTATAATAAAACCAAATTAAAACATAAAATATTCGAACTTAAATTGAATCGATCAAAACACTACGGTATTTTTTTTTTCTGGGGTTTTTTTTTTTCTCTCCCTAGGCAGAAGGTGCATCATCCTTCCCGGCAACCAATCCTCCTTCACTGCACGCACATAACTGCACTTTTTGTAGGGGTTAAAGTTAATCTATGTCATAGGGAAGCTAATGAATGACTAACACGTTAGTGAGGAAAGCTGCAAAAAATAGAGAGCGTTATGGTATTTTTTCTGCCCTTCCTGTCTTCTTAGATGGCTAACTAAGTATGGACTCTAGTCCCCAATTTTTTTTGTAGAATGAAGCCTATGATCCATCAAAATATTACTATCAAAGAGAATCTTTATGCAAGAAGAGAAACTCACAGGTGGATGAACTTTTCTTGAAACTTGAATATAATATCTTTCCCTCCAGATTTACGATAGAGCCCTTGGCATGTGCTCTTCAACAGTTCGAATACGAAGCGACTCAGATGGCTTCTGAAATTAAGGAGATAGTATAAGAGAAGAAGTATAGGAGCAAAGACAATTTAGTCACCTTCTTAACTTGAGAGAGCAAATTATCAAACTATATTGCAGTTTGTTGATGCCATTTACACATAAAAATCATTTGATACATTGAACTTTTAAACGCAATTTTTTTTAAAAAAAAAATGGATATTATGAGTTGTACACAATTTTTATATAATAAAACGTTTCTTGGGGATTTTTTGAAATAAATTAATCATAGAAAAACAGATAAAAAAGTTAAACAGGTGAAACTAAGCTAGGTTATCTTCGCTAGCTCAATCAGCCATTATCTCATTACCTGGGACTACATGATTCCAGACTCATTAAATCAATTTTGTTAATCAACAAATAGTTCTTTCTGTGTGCGTGTGTATGCAAATGTATATTTCAGAATATGTAATTCCAGGAATTTTAGCTATGAAATTCTCACAAATCAAATGCTGGTTATACATATGTGGATTATTGCCTCTCAAATATCACAGGTATTTACCATTTTGATGAAACCAAAAACAAAAACCTTGAACCAGTATCATCAGAATCACCTAGAATCTATTATAGATATAAAAAGCTTACCCCCTAACACAAAGCTAAGCAAGTTTATGAAAATAAGTAGCATATCATTATACTGCCTTGCACCTAACCATGAAAATAATATCAACAAATGAAATCCTTTTTCTCACTAATCAGAATCCATTACACAAGGAACTATAATAATATCAAGGAATTTAACACCATTAGCTGTAGACAAAACTATAAACCCTTCATAAGATTTGTTGCAACCACTAAATTTTCCAAGTAAATTAAACTTAGCCAGGCTTATAAAAACTAGGGGATAAGGATATCGTCAAGCTCAGACATGAAAACACTTTCCGAGGGAAAAGGAATCATCATACTTCAATTTAGTATAAGAACAACATTTTCAAAGTCAAGCAAAAGAACAGCATACAAATCAAACTGAAGGAAACTACATAATATAATTAAAAATTCAAGGGGCACAAAGCTAAATAAGTAAAAACAATAAAGAATCAGGTTGACACCAGCTTACATAGTAGCTCTCTCATTTATAGAATACTCCATGTAAATGAAAGTAATTACACTAGCTAGCAAATTTAACAAAAGGTAATGAAATCTGTTTCATTGTTACTTCTGCTTCTTGCTTTTTACCTCTACAAAGGCAAAATATACAAATGAAAATAGTAATTTTAGATAATTAAAGTAAAATATTAAATTACGTAAATAACAAAATACATTATTTTATTTTTATATGCCACAATTTCCTTTTTGTACGTCTTACAATTTAACATTTTGTTTTTCATTTTTAATCAAATATGAAATCACACTAATTATAAGCAACCCTTTTAGTAAAAGAGTAAAATTGAAATTAAAAAATAAAAAGAAAAAATATCGTGCACAAGTGAGCAACTTGAAGCTTTATGAAGAAGCAACCTGGGAATTCTCTGATTGAGAGTGATAATCGTCAGGATCAACGGCAGTGCAATCACGGGGGATTTCAAACAATGACAAGGAGAACTGTTTATTAACAACGCCAACATCAAAGTTGATCAAACCGGAGCTTGGATCATCGACGCGAATGCTAATGACGGGGAACCATAGGAACAGCTCCTGCTGCGACACACCGGATAAATTCGCGATCTTCCCGAAAGATAAGACTCCGGAGATATTGAAATCGTAGTGGAGCTGGTTCTCGAATTTGGCGTTGCAGGCTTGGGTTAGATTGACTTGGAAACGTTGCGTGTCGGGGTCGATTGAAAACTCGGTTATGCCTTTTGGGAGGAGGCCTATGGGAAGGCCGTTGATTTCCAAATGGTCGTAGATTGAGGAAGGGGATGATTGGGCGGTGGGAAAATTAATGGAGAGGAGAAGGAAACTCAGGGAAAGCGTGGAAACAAGAGAGAAAATTGAAATTCCCATGTTTGGGGCTTTATTTTTTCTCTCTTTTTCTCTAAAGAGAAACAAATCGGTTATTTTGGACAGAGACTTTTTATTTTGTTGATGATGCTTCAATTGGTTTAAAGTTGAAGAAGGTGGAAACAGAAGGAAACAGAAGGGTTTTTTTAAGGGTTTGGAATTTATCGGTTGTTTGGGGAAGATGTTCAGCGACGGGCTTAATAGGAGCGTGAACACACGTTTGGTATAATGAAATCCACTAATCGAAGAAACTGGGCAGAGTTTTTTCCTATGTCAAGATATTCTTTAATTTTATTTACCAAATTAAGATAAATTTGAACTTAATTCTAAACAATTGGATACTTTGTACACGTAAAAATACTGTTGAGGATTTCTGGTGATATAAAAAGATCTCAACTTGGGCCTAAAATGATCCGACTTTCATGTTAATCTCGTTTGAGGCACTAAAATTTATTAAATATTTTACATTTAATCACTTTAATAAATTTTATTTTAAAAATATTAAAAAATAAAAAAATGACATAACTACTTATATATTTCCACGTAAGCCGCCAATTTTTTTGCCACAGCATTTTCTTTGTTGTGATACTATATTCTCTCTCTTCCTCTTCCCCGTCCTCGTCCTCGTCTCGTCCTCGTCCTCGTCCCCATTCACCAACACAAATACCAATCAATGAAACAATAATTTTTTTATTATATATAATAGTTAATGCATTTGAGAGTACATTAAAGATTAAAGATTTGATTTTGAACCAATCATCCCTTTTTTTCTTCCTGGGCTTTGCTTTCCGATCGACAAAAAAATTTTTATTTTCTATCATACTCGTATAACAAAAAAAAAAAGTAGATCCGGAAATTTTTTGGGGAATCAAAGGGTTTTTAATTTAAGGCAAGTTCTTGTTGGATCGAGATTTTGCTTGATCGAGGGAGAGGGAGAGAGAGACTTGAAGCTTTTGATGAATACTCAAGTTTTCAAGACTCAACCTTCTTGGAGTCTCTTCTCTTCGAAGATTCAACTGTAACCCCAAGATGTTCTTGGATACCATCCCTGTTTAGCCTTTCTTTCTCTTAAGCCTCTCGTTTCTCCTCGTTGAGTATTCATCGTAAAACCTGCCTCACTCAAACATAGGACTACAGGTAGCAATGAGACTAGTCTCACCAAGACCAGCGTTTTCTATTTCCCTATTTCCAAGTTCATCTCTAACCATCCTAGCCAAAGCCTGCAACTTGCAAGAAATGGAACGATACTCATGTTGAATCCCCGATTCTTCCATGGCCCAAGAACGAATAGGTTTCTGGGATTTCGTTAAAGAACCTTCAACAATAAACGAACATTCATTCCCAGTTAAAAACAAAAAAAAAAAAAAAAAGATTAATCTTTTATAATAAAATTTTGAAGTTTATTTATACGAGTTTTTAACCGGAGATACTTGGTGGGGTTTGCAGGGAGGTTGACTTCGATGGAAGGACGCGATAGGGTCGTAGCCGGATAGGTGATTTAGCAAGCGGAGGCTTACCATCAGGTTTCTTCTTAGACATGATACCTTTTTCTTACAGAGAACTGCGGAGATTCAGAGAGAAATTCACCCGTTAGTTAAAAAGAGTGAAGTGAGAGGGGGTTGCAATTTCGGAGAGAAATGGAAGAGAAAAGTTAAAAAAAAAAAAAAAAAAGAATGAAAGAGAAAAAAATAGAAAAATGATGTTGTAAAAAAATGGCGCGATAGCTTACGTGAAACATACATATGGCAGTCATATATATATATATATATATATATATTTTTTATAAAATCCGTTTGAGTGATTAAATTTAGGATATTTAATAAATGTTAGTGAATTCATATAAATAAATCAAAATTTAGTGACTCAAAATACCAATGCTCTTCTTTTTTTTTTTAACCCTTGGAATTATAGCGTAGAAATAAAAATGTCTATTTGACTGAACCGTTTTTATTTTTTAATTTAAAATTTTTAAAATAATTTTATTAATTTAATATAAGAAATAAAATTTTATAATTATATAATAAACTAATTAATAACTAAATAACTTTTTTTTGGACAAAATAAATAAACAACTAAAACTTGAATAAATACATAAATAAACAATAAATTCTACAATCAAATAAATTATTAATAAATTAGAAAAAAAAAACCTCCGTAACTAATATAAGTTAAGTAAAATATATAACTACATAAATGAAAAAATAAGAGCAAATGTATTATTATTTTGATATAAGAAGTATCATATAATAAATAAAGTAAAAAAATAATAAATAATTGAATATTACTTTTTTTAAATTTCAATTTATGTAAATATATTATTATCAGTATTTTAAAAAGAATTATTTGATATATTACTATCTTTTTTTATTAATTTTAATTATTTATAAATAAAATTATTATTTAATATAAAATATTTTAATATTTTATTAATTTGATAAATGTCAAATATACTAAAAATTTCATTACATACAAACTTAAATCTAATATCTTATCATTGTCTCTTTTAACCTCAATTTATTATTATTGATTCCAAACAAATATTCAAATATCCACTATTGATTATAATTTTATCATTGCAATCTCTAATATTACTGTTATAGGTCACCACCCATCAAATAGATATATTGCGTGATTTTGTAAGACATTAATCAGATATTAAGAAAGCTAGTGAATTAAATAATAAAAATTATCAAATAATAGTTATTATTAAAAGTTAACAATTATATTATTACACATACAAAATTAACAAAGTATTTATTTAGTTAATTATTTATATATGTATCTATTTAAAAAATTTTGTCTTATGTAATTAATTATGTATGACTTTTTATTTATGCATTTTACTGAATAAATAAATTATTTATTTCATTGTTATTTATTCAATTATTTATTTACTTACTAATGTATTCACTTATATAATCATTTATATTTTTAGTAATTATTTATTTGTATTGTTTTAGCTATTTATTTATTACATTAAGGACAAATGCAAAAATGAAACAAACTAAAGAAAAGAAATATTATAAGAAAAAAAAAAGTATTACAACCCATTCTTTCACTAGCTGGATTCCAACAAGATTAAAATTCGGTATCTATTACTTAGCAAAATTTTCTTCTCCAATATGTCTTAGCCCTTGGCCACTTTGTGTAAATAAAAAGGAAAGTATTACAGAGAAAATATATTAAACTAACAAAATGGGGAAAAAAATGAGAAAAATGAACAATGCACAAATTTCTAGCTCTCTAGCACTTACTAGTTTTATTACGGCTAAGCCTGACTAACCTAAAGGTTGAACTGCACTGAACCTGAAAGTTGGCCGAAGCATCTGGTTAGTCCTGAGATCTACATTTTTACTACAGTTTCTTCCCAAACATAGGATTTCTAGAAATGAAGATAAACTGCACTGAACCTCAAGCCAAGTCGAGCATGAAATATATATTATAGATTCGCTCACTTTTCTACAGACTATAAAATTAGAATTGTATAAGAGCCACCAGACTATAGAAGAAACTGCCCATGGTTAATTAGTCCAGTTAATGAATCCAAATTTTGAAAGAGGAAAAAAAAAAAAAGAATGTGAAAAAACTACCATTCCCAAATGCAGTAATAAGTTCCCATCATAAATAAATATTTCATTATGGTAACTGAGTCATTTGCATTTCTACCAACTCAAGCAAAAACACTCAATCAAAACAAAACAATGCCGCATCTCACAACATTACCAGAAATAGACAGACTCAACCTGCCCTCCATAGTTTTTACTCCATCGTTTGGCTTTGCCCACTCAAGAGTCTTTGTTTTTCAGGGTTCAATCACGAACAAAGGCTATAAAGATAACAAACAACAATGTCAGAAAACATATATATTATTTGCAATCAAGGTGGCTAAAAATACTGACCATGTCAACGCTGACTGCTTTGCCATCTTCTACAAGGATCTCAACTACCGTTCCTGATTTATCAGCCTAAAGAAATAAAATTTTCAGTATAGTCAGTCACAAAAGTGACAGTTTGACGGTTTCATAAACTGTGGATGCAACAAAAAAGTCTTGATTAAGGGTTGTATAACATATCAGTCTGCTAGTACTGTAATTACAGGCTGTAATCACTCATTGCACAGGCAAATCAAAATGCAGCTTTCAAGTTGTTTGTTGAGAGTGCTCCACTAGGGGAAAAAAAACCTAATCAGGACCTTATGCCCTTCACTGGCTGAATCTCAAACATATGGCCTAAATTTTGCTGGATCACCTTCATTTAACCAACTAGTTTAAGCTAATAGGCAATAGCTATTCATATATTTCCCAATAACAGATCAAAAGTGAACAAGAAAATGCATGCAATGAACCTCATTTAAGCACCACCATCCACTATAAAAACTGTAACATATTCATAAGTATGATTTGTAACATTTTACCTTTGATAGGAAAATAAGTATTAACTCTCGTTAAGGTTAAAGCGTAATCAAGGAAGCATAACTGGTTTATCAACAAATAGAACTATAACTTGCTATCTAAACAAAACCTGTTGCAGAGTATCATGCACTTATCACCAGAAAGTTTCAGTCAAGTTTGCCTCAAGTTTCAGTTGGATGGTTGGACCCTTGCACCTTACGCATTCAAAAGACCTAACCAGCTTTTAGAAACAAAAACCTTGATGTCAACTACATAAATCCTTTCCTTCCAATCTGTCTATGTTAAAGTATACTCTTGTCCGACACTTGACTGTCATTTCTTTCACCCACTCATTATTCTAACTTCTATTAAAAATCATTTTTCATTTGATTGCATCTAAACTGTGCTTATGACCAAATTCATTAAAGCATCCTTCTCCCAATTTATATAAGATTGGTCAACTTTAAATTTAAAAAAAAATAAGTCACTCTCCTTCATTTTTTTTTTTTTTGTTGTCTTCACATACACCCATTACAATATTTCCATTTGGAAGCACTTCTTATGCTCATTTTCTCCACCTACACAACTTCATTCAATAAAGCAATACTGAGGTTACAAAAAAGTTATAAAAAACAATAATTCCGAGGTATCTTATAATATTTCAGTCACTTGCATATTTCATCACCCGCGTACTGTGAAACGTTTTTCTACATTTTATCAAACAGGTCTCTATATACTAAAAATAATAGCTCTTCCGAATTTCTTGACCATCAATTTTCACTCTATATTCATCTCTAGGTTTATTATACTTCATTCAACATAGTCCATCTGGGCTATTTTGAAATTTTCCAAGGATACCATTTTGCAATTATTGAGGGTGAAGCCCAAGTCCCCTTTGGTGTGGGATAACTCAACTAAGCCATAACCTCAGATTCATTGAGGTTGGGAAAATGAAACCTTTTTCTTGATTCTGTTTGATTAAGGGCTATATCGTGTACAATTTCATAGTAGACACTCTAAGGCCATATCAGGCATAGGATGGCCACTTAGTTAAATAGGAAGGCAAAAGACAGGAGGGGGCAGGTATAGCAGCTAATCTCACATCATTTTGAACCAACCAACATAAAATCAAGCCCAAAGCCCAAAATATGGAATTCCGACATGAATATTAGGCCTAGGTGGAATCGATGCCTTCTAAGATTGCAGTATAGACATTCTAATAATGACAAGTTGAGCCCGAAAGAAAATTTTACATATGTTCAACATATCTAAATGGGTGGTATTCGGTTACAAGGTCAATTCTATTATTAATAAACTTATATGTTCATGAATATTTCAAAAAGTCAATTCTCAAGAAGCTGAAGGTTGAGAAGACAATTCCATCCAAAAATGCTTAAGGCATTCTTTCCTAGTATCTTTTGACAAAATGCATAGGCAGGGGGAAGAAGTAGATTGTCTTAAAAAAGCAATCTAGTTGATATTCTCCGTTCATTCTCCCTACTTTCAGTACTAGAAACCTTTCAGTGCATAGGCACAGGGAAAAACTAGATTGTATTAACCAAGCAATCTAGTTGATACTCTCTGCTCATTCTCCCAGCTTTCAGCACTAGAAACAGTTCAGTGCTGCAGGCACCTAATTTGTTAGCAACATATGCCACAGTTAATATTAATCCAAGAAAGTATTTAGCCAAATATTTTTCTATAAACTAATGCACAAATGAGCTCTGATTCCTTACTCCTTACCCTCACAATGCTCCAAGCTGCAAATGGATTGGTTTTTTTGAAAGAGAACAGGACTTGTGTCCAATATACATAAAGCTGTCCTAACAACCTATATGCCAGATCATAGGCCAGTAACCTTCATAAATACGTTTGTAATCCAATTCCTGTCCAGTTTCCTTGGAACACTTGATAGGTTAATTAAAAGACATTTCAAGTCTCCAAGAGCTTCAGGTTTTATCTCAGACTTTCATTAGCTCCGTGGTTCAGACTTCAGACTTAAATTAATCAAATTTAATCTATATTGTGAATATAGAAGTTTTAAGATGACCACCAATGGGAAAAAGTCAAGAAACAGTAAAATTGTATGACTTAAACAATTAATCTTTTATAGGCAGAAAAAATGAGAACTTACTTCTATTTCATTCATCAACTTCATTGCCTCAATAATGCATAAGACCTGACCCTTCTGCACTTTGTCTCCAACCTACAGAGAAAGCCTTTTGCATAAGTTGAAAGAGAATAATCCGCAGGAGACATGATATTGACTTATAGCAGCACCATTAAAATCCAATAAAACCAACATGTATGGAATATTCACCTTCACAAATGGTGGTTCACCAGGAGCTGAACTTCGGTAGAATGTGCCAGCCATTGGACATTTAAAAGGTGGAAGTGACGATTTGGTTGACTTTGGGGCAGCTGGAGAAGGTGCTGGAGTTGGGGCATAAGGTGCTGGGGCAGGTGCAGTTGGGATTGGAGGCATTACAGGTGGTAGAGAGGGTGACTGCATCATAGCAACCGGAGCTGCAGATGGTGATTGGGGCAAGGCCTCCTTTTTCCGGATTATCAGTTCACGGTCAAGTTGTTTCAGTTGCAACTCCACAATATCTCTTGAATCAACTAGCCTAGAAGAGAACAGATAAAAACCATCTCATTGAGCACATTTCCCTAGAAATGAAAAACACTACAAAACCTATCAAGGAACAGCATACTTGACTAGACTTGAAACTTGATTAAGGAACTCTGAGATTGATTCTTCTGTGGGCAAAGCTGGAGCAGATACATCACTTGATGGCTTCACATCCTTCTCTTCTGCTGTTGGTGCCCTTGATTTGACTGGAGGTGTAGCAGAAACATTTGATGATCCATCTTTGGCTACCTTGAAGTCAATAGATGATCCCAAAAGCGTGTCTAGGAAGGAACGAAAATTTGAAAATAGATCCTCTAACCGAAAACATTTAAAGAAGTTTACCTCATCCAGTTGGGCTTTCACCACAGCAGAACAGCTCTGACCAGGCTGCAAACTCTACATGTAGAGACCAGCAAAATTTTCAATCCAACACAGAAAAACTGGAGTTAAAATGCATTTGACTGAAAAACATAAAGTTTTAGCTGGTTTTTAAATATCTCTGCATGAATAGGTGAATCAGCGAGGAAGCAAAAATGTTTTAGGTCTGTACAAAAAGAAAGATGTCAAGTTTCAATCATTGAGAGCCCCTCACTTTCAATATTATATTGCATGTATGACCTCCATAATCCATAATGAGGCTAGAAAAACCAACTGCTAATTTCCAAATAACACTATTAATTTAAAGTGAGAAAAGAGGGAGAAGATCATCATTTTAGAATAAATGAAAAACTTAGACAAATCTTATTTTGCATGCAATTAAGAATCTGGCAACCACATTAGTCGACCATAATCTGTCCAACTGCATGCTTTTCCTTCCTATTATTTAGCCCATCACTGCATTCTTGAAAGCATTAAAAGCGTCCTAAAGAATTTCATTAACTTTGCACCATTATGTAGGATACTTTCACCATGTCAACAAGGTGAAGGTGATACTTTATTCTAAATGTTACATACTAGTCCTTAAAACAAAATTATACCTCTCTGAAGATTTATCACTGATTTTTCAAATCATATCAGCTCCATGCAGTTAAAATCGCAGTTTTCCTTGTTATTATTTTAAAATTCTTATAATTTTTATAAAACTGCATCACTCCAAATGACAACATTATAATTTTTATTCAATTTTATTTTTTACTGCTATTAACTTTTTAAATCAATATATTTTTTACAATTTCAATTTGAAAATTGATTTTCATGTATCTCATGCTAAAAATATATTAAAACATATAAAAGGAAAAAAAATTTGTTGTACTTTCTTTAATGAATTTGATCTCATGTATCTAGTACATTGTATTTTGAGGGTTAATTCCCATGCACAACACAGATTTTCAGACGTGTGTGTTTTGTACCACAAAATATCTAAGCAAATACATGTGTGGAGTGTCATTCAGAAAAAGACCAGCTTAAGTTTAGTCAAGTAAGCTAAAGGAATTATTGATCCAAAAAGGTAACTACTTCCTTAAATAGAAATCATGCATGTAATCCATTTTGACTAATAGTTCTTATAAAGCGCAGCAATTAGTATACTTGATGATTTCTGTGCATGATATAAGATAAATAGAAGCATAATTTATCTGGTATAATAGATGATAGTAAGAATTATACAATAAATCTTATCAAATAGGTTTTAAATAAATGACATGGGTTAAAATTTTATTAGATTTAGACATCAACAATTGATTACATAGCAATAGCTTTTTATGAATCATCCCTAATAGGATTAGTGAATTTGGGATTGTACTGCTAAATAGAACCTAACAAATAACACATTGATTCTAAAGACAATTTCATTCCAAGAACAAATTGCATGATTGTTTTTTATTGTCAGTCGCACCTAAAGAATATTATACTCTTTATCAGTAACTTCTATTACTGCATGGTATTCTAAAATGGTTGATAAGGCATTTTACCTTGTAATGGGATTTAGAGTAAAACATATTACGCAGATTTGGTCAAACTTTCAAGAATGAAAAATAATAAAAACACTTTTAAAACTATTATTAGCTATAACTAACGCGGCAATGGAGCTGGTTTCCCAGCTGCTGGAACAATTTTTTTTCTCTGAACATTCTTGATCCTACTAACCAATAATGCTCAGCTGCTTTAGAATAAATTTTTGCTTAGTAAAGCTTCGATTTTAGTCCTTTGGAATTTCCACACAAAATACCTTAGGGATTCCAGTGAAGTTACATACTGAGCTTGATTTGTAAACTGTCAGCGTATCTAAAGCATCAAACCTAGTTGAATATCTGTAAACGGTCACTTCCCTAGCATGTACATTTCCTTTAATACCACAGACATAACTAGTTTCCAATCTGTATTTAGTTTCACACAGACTCTTACAAAATGTATTCAGCTCAAATTACAATGACTATAACTGAAACTAACAAGTTCAATTATCCCAAAAAAAAAAAAAAAAAAGAGAAAAGAAACAAAAAAGAAAAGGAAAGGAAACTAACAAGTTCATACTTGTAACATATGATATATGAGAGGACACTAAGAAATACTTACGTTTATGGTTGCAAATATTATGGTGCAAAGGTTAAGCCTAAAATGGAATCAATAAAATAATAACCCTTTCAGATACACAAAGGTGCACATTCGACCCGTAGTGGATAAAACTACAATTCTAGCACACAGAAACACATAGTTTCACTAAGCAGGCTGCTTCAACATACATGCAAAAGCAAGGAAAGGCATCAAATACTCATGCGTTTTGCTCTTTCAAAGCATAATGACAGAAATGTCAGACCATGCAGTGACAAGGTATGCAATCACTTATTGTGGTACAAACATTTTCAAAACCAGAAAAAGGAACTATTTTTTCGCTTTCCACCCCTACCTTCCTATTTATTTCTTACATTATTGGATAAACTTTTTTTTTTTGTTTCTAACACGCAACAATCAAAGAGAAATGGCCAAGCAAAAAAAAAATAGAATCTATTCAATTACAAACTCAAAGATAAACAAGTATTCCATATTTTTCTTTTTATTTTTTCCTTTTTGACACTTGTTTTTACTTTTCCACAGTTCCGGAAAGAAATTCATATTTGGTTAAACCAAGGAGATAGCTAAGATGCCGCACACATTTAAACAAATTTCAATTTCACAAAATCTAAAATCTTGTAATTCATCAAAATTATTTTCATAGCCAATAATAACAATCAAAGGCTAAAATATGAGACCTCTATACGAATAAAACAGCATTAAACACGTTTCTAAATCAAGCAAAACTAAATAGTAAATACAAAGAGAAACAATCATCTTTTCTTCTCTTCTCTTTGCTACTAATTCTATAAGCAAAGACGCATGGATTCAAGCTTAAAATTGATCAAACAATGGAGATCACAAATTTACACTCTACTTCTCTCGAACTTAAACAGAGCAACAAAAAAAGAAAATTTCAAATCGAAGATTCAAAGAATGAGTCTATTGCCTCTTCCTACTCTCGCATTTGGAAATAACAGATTCTAAGCAGCTAAAATTAATATTCAAAAATAAAATGAGAAAGAGAGAAAATTTAGATTAATTTTGTTACCTTGGAGAAGAATCGGAGGTTTGGCCTCAGAGAGAAGCGAAAGGAGACCTTGGAGAGCGGAAGGTTAGTAGAATGAGGCAAGGTAGCGTTAGTTTTAACGACCGAAGAAAAGGAAGCAGAAGCTGTTGTTGAGAGAGAAGACGCCATTTATTTTTCAAGAGACAGAGAGGAGAAGAAATGTGTTTTGACTTGTTGGAGAGAAAGAAAAAAGAAAATGAAATGAGGACGAGGATTCAAAAGAGAGAGAGAAAGGAAAGGAAAGGGTTTCCCGGAATCCGTCGAGAAGTGGAAGGGAGAGAGGAAAGTGGACGACTTAAGTATTTAGGGACCGATGAAATCAAAGAGAGAGTGGGAGCAGGAAGTTGAATTGGAATAATGGAGAGGGAGAGATTGGTCCGTACGCGCTTTGGGTTGATCTCACCTAGCAATCGACAGTAAATAAATATATATTCATTATTATTTGATTTGTTTATGTAGAATTTAAATAGTTATAGATAGATAATTAATAAATTTAGATAAAAATATTTATTATTTATGATAAATTCAGAAGGAATATGAATAATATTTTTTATTTAAATTCATTTAAATTTTAATAAATAGCATAGAGATCTAAATTTATATTTAAATTCGTTACTTATTTATATATATAATATATAAATTTTTATATTTATAGAAAGTTTTGAATATTAAAAAATAATTTTTATTTTTTATTAATTAAGAATATTTTAAATTTTAAATTAAATTATTATTTATTTTATATTTTGATATTTTAATATATTCAAATATTTAAATTGATAATATTATTTAACAGATTCACATTTAGATAATAATATTAAATTTAAATATATAAATATTAAATGAATTTTAATATCATAAATTGATAATATTATTTAACATTTTCATATTTAGATAATGATGTTAAACTTAAATACATTTTCTCCATTGCTAATCCTAATCTCGCCGGCACGTGTTGGAGTTTGGCTAAATGAACAGGAGTTCGTTCTTTAAGATCCGTTTTCTTTTGACAACTGTATATTTTTGGATCAGGTTTTTTATTTTGTCTTCCTTCCTTCCTCCGGAGCTCAGGTCTTGTGTTGGGGATTGGAGGCTGTGGAGATGGGTGGGATTTGACCTTTTGAGAAAAAAAATAATTTATGTTTTTTATTTTATTTTTAAAATAATTTATACCCACATTAAGCTGCAAGAGTTGTGGGAAAGTAGAGTTCGTTATGTTTTTAATTTTTTTTATGAACACTAGATGTGAAAACACCTGTTTTCGAATTATGTTAGGTTCCGTTTACTACGATTTGAGTATGAATTATTTTATATTTTGAATAATTTTAAGTTTAAATTATTTAGATTTAAAATTTTTCATGCACGAATTTTTAATTTTCTTGGTCAAATTCAATTCGAGCGGATGAGCAGATTTGAACTTTTCATGTAGGTTATAGGGCTTTCAAGTTTAATCCATTTGATCACCTTAATTATAATTATAATTAAATAATTTTTAATATATATATAAAAAATCCAATAAAAAAGTACGATGAATAACAAAAAAAATCAATGTATAAGCACTCAAAACCTACCTTTAACATGAATATGAGACTTATTTATTTTTAAACCAATACAAATTTAATTAATTATTTAATTATATATGACAAATTTAATTTTTTATTTTTATTTCATTGTATTATTTTCATCTTTGTATTTGTCGGAAGTAATCTTTATATAAGAATAAATCTTTCGGGTTCTCTCAAATTTTTGGTGGAGCTCTTTAAATTTATTCATCACCTTAAGATTTTTCTTTTAAAGTGCCACCACAAATTACCATGAAATTTCCATCATATTTCTCAACAATTATTTTTTACCTTTTATTTATTTATGAATTAACCGATACCATTGATTTAATTCCAAATAAAATAAAAAATAGCTTGAAATTTATATTTCATAAATAAAAAAGTTTCCTTTCAAATTGGATATGAGTTGTAGGCTTTATCAAGTAAAATGGATCAATAGAAAAAAATTTTAGATCAGACCTAGTGGTCTAAGCCACGTTTAGATTCAAACGGGTCATGGTGCGATGTGGTTTGGACCATTTTTTGGCTTTGATGTCAATCGTTAAAAGATTAAAAAATATTACATTTCAATTAACACGATAACTTTTAATTAACATAGTTTTAATGGATTAAACTTCAAGTAACAAGTAAAATAAAAATAAATTGCAACATAATAAGTTTGATTTTTTAAATTTAAGAGAAATATTTGAACATTATAAATATATAATAGTAATTGGGGACACGCCAATGTGTGATGATAATTTTTTAATAAAGATATTTTATAAAGTTTATATGTTTTTAGGTACAATTAATGTACATTTTTTTATTGATCTAAATCAAGAAAAGTGTTCATTTAAGTAACAAAAATTCGAAATTTGTGGTGTAGTATAATAAAATAAAAATTGATCAAATTGTGATTCAAAATCAAAGATTATACTAATATCTTCAGTCCGACCGCTTTCTCACTTGCATTGAAATTTCTTTGAGAAAAAAAAATTCAAAATAGTGTTACCGATGATCGAGATGAAGATCAAAACTATTTTGTCACAATGAATTAGCAACTCTCTCATACATTAGTCAATCCAAAGTAACTGCAACTTATAAAATATGAAACGAGTTTATATTTAATATACCATCAATGTATTTTATACACTGTCAATAAATCAAATAATATTATTTTATTAATAAAATGAATTAGATGATAACATCTCATTAATGATAGACCCCGTATCATCATTGGCTGCCCTGAATTGTGTTATCTGAAATTGATGCTAATCACTTCCAAATAATTCAAATCACTTGAACCCGACAGAATGAACCAGCTTTATACTTGCATTGACATAGAGAACCATTAAATATAAAACATGATTATTTCAATGAAATTCCAAAAAAGAAATCCCCAAGAAAGAGTGGATTTGAGACTAAATTGTACAACATTAAAATTGAAGTCCACAGATATTTAAAATCATCATATATGCATAACTCAGGTTACATGTACAAAGTATCTGCTTTTACTTCTGGTGTACAAGACTACTCTAGAGGCCATAGTAATTATCTTTTAAGGATCAAAGGACAATCTAATGAAAATACTCATCATCATAATCTCATCCAAAATAAGAAGAAATGGCAAGCTACAGCTGAGCCTCCGGCTTTGGTGCTTTTCCACCTATCTGTACTGCAAAAATTAGACACAAAAATAGACATGTATGATGAGAAAACCAGGTGTGAAATAGTTTTTTCGTTCTCAATGTCAATAGAAACTGACACGCTGTGGGAGATATGATAGAATTTACTCCCCTGATATTGAATAGGAAGAAATCACTTGACATTTACAATTTGATGATCTTCATAGTTTGTATGGACTACTTTACAAGAACTTTGATTTGTTTCCTCACTAGATAATATATCAACTAGCATGACTGCCGTGGGGGCATCCACAGAAAATCCCCTGTTAGCCATTTCATGAAGAATTTGTATTGCACTAGACATTTCACTTTTTCGAAGAAACCCCTGGACCATTGTGTTATAGGAGCAGCTATTTGGCAGGCAACCACCTTTTTCCATTTTCCTAAACAGCTCCAGTGCTTCATTTACTAGTCCTTCTTCAAAAAGTGTTTTGATCATATTAGTATATACGTTAATGTTTGGGTGCAATGCTTTGACAAATATTTCACTATACAATTCCCTTGCAAGTTTAAACTCCCTAACTTGACACAAGCCATCAAGTAGAATGCCATAATGGAAAATGCTAGGTTCCAACCCACCATTAAGCATTGCTTGAAAGAATTCCAATGCCTCATAAATATGACCATGTTTGCATAAGCCATCCAGCAAAGCTGAATACGTCATTTGATTAGGAATTTGTCCATGCTTAGACATCTCCTTGAAAAGTTCTAGCGCAATCGAAAGTCTCCCAACTTCGCACATGCCCTTTATAAGAATGGTATAAGTAACAACATCGGGAATAAATCCCCTATCAGAGATTTCATGAAAAAGTTTCATTGCCTCATCCATCCTCTTAGCTTTGCAATATCCATTGATTAAAGTATTGTAACTAACTAGATCTGGGGCACAACCCATGTCAACCAGCAAGTCAAACACCTTTTTTGCCTCGTATATTTCACTCTGCGAACAATCTCCATCCATCATTGTATTGTTTGTGACAATACCAGATCTAACAACTGCCTGAAACATTTTCCCAACCACATCATGAACCTCTGAAATCAAGCCTTCTTTACAAAGTGCATCAACCAATATATTACAGGTGACAACATTTGGCAAGACATTATTAGCCACCATTTCCTTGAATAAACTCATACCCTCTTTCCACTTCCCCGAATTACACATAGCATGAATTAAGGAACTATAAGTGACAACATTTGGCAGGATACCTTTAAATCTCATTTCTGATAAGAGTTTCAAAGCCTCAGTTACATTCTCATCCTTACAAAGGCTATCAATGATGGTGCTGTATGTTAAAACGTTAGGTGCCCAACCTCTTTTTTCCATCAGCCTTAGCAATCTAATAGCCCCATGAGTATCACCTATTTTACAAAGGCCATTAACAATCGTACTATAGCTAATTAAATTAGGCTGAAACCCTTCCCGAATCATGTCATTGAACAACATCACTGCACGAGATACTTTCCTTTCAATGCAAAATCCATTAATCAAAGTGGAGAATGTTATGACATTAGGCCGGAGACCAAGTTTAAACATTTTTGCCAAAAGAGAGAAACCGATATCCACACGATGCAAGCGGCAGAAGCAATTAACTAATATGGTGAGAGTATAAACATTATGTTGGATACCCAGCAACTCCATTTTTCTAATAAGGAAAACTGCAGTTACATAATGCTTCATTCTAACAATGGCAGCTAATAATTGAGTAAATTCAATAATAGAACAGCGGGGATGACTATGAATCATCTGATTAAACAAAGTCAAGGCTTCATCAATTTTATCAAACTGAAACCGATGCTTGCCTTTGCTCCTCGCAATCACAGAATTTTCAGTGTTTGGGGAACTAACAGTAGCATAGAAACGTGGTATTTGGAAACAAAAGCAATCCCTTTTAAGATGAAGGATCGGGCGATAAGTGAACAACAGGGAAAGGACAGATATGGCGGATTTAGAGTTACCCGTTTGTTGAAGATGAGATGTGGATACAAAAGCACTTCTCCACCTCCCCATCAGAAGCCTTTTCTCTCTCTCTTATTCTCCAAGCCAATTGTTCCTCGATGCAGATTGCAGACTTGGTCTTCTTTCGAACTCAAACAATAGTCTTCAAGTTGGGGTTGTTTAAGCTTGTGGAGATCCTAGATCTAGTCGCAAAGCCTTTGTCAATTTTCAAAGCCCTAAGCCATTTTGCAAGGATGAAAAATGCCCACTCAACCCTAAAATTATTCTACGATCTTTTACAAATAGCGCACAATTAGAGTTGTCGAAACTAATTTGAATCTCAAATTTTGATCAATTTGTTTAACCCCAATTTTATCAATTGAAGTTAATAATTAAAACTTAGAATTATATGAACTCAAATTAATTTAAATATAAAATAATTTAAATTTGAATGAATAACTTGAAATGATAATAAAATTAATTTGATTTAATTTTAAAATTAAATAATTAGATTTTAAATAATTTAAATTTAATAACATAATTTCAAATAATTTAAGTATCAAATTTAAAATATCCAAACCCGAAATCATTCAAATTTAAAAATATCTCAAAATTTTTAACAAAAAATGATCTAATTTATATTGAATTCTATCAACTCGATTACTATTTCAACATAATAGATTTTCAAAATGGAAGGAAAGTATCAAATTAAATCAATATATTATAAGATTTAATATGATTAATGTTAACTTTTTTTATATGCTTTTGTGTTATATAATGACTTTCACCTCATCAATTATAATGTTATACTACTATTTTCACAATTGATATCAAGAATTAAATTCGAGAATTTAACTCAAATTTTAACCATAACGTATCTATTCGAAAATGATTAGAATTAGGATATTGTTTGATGCTCGGTTGATGGGTTTAGCTTGGGTTTGCGATGGTCGATGGTGTTTTGGGATGACAAAAAAGTCTTGGGCCTAATGTACAAGAATATGAAGTGGAAGCAGGGTGGGGTTTTAAATAGTTGTAACAGAATGTATTTGATAACAATTTGTAAATATATTTGATTTTTAATCAATTTTATTTATTTATTAAATTTAATAAATAATCATGAATATCATTTCATGATTCATAAAATAAACGAATAAATCTCAAATATAATAAAATTTGTTCATGTTAAGTTCTTTGTGTAAATAAATTAAGTGTTTGAAAAATAATTCACTAACAAATTTAATTTTTATTCATTTATACTCATTTATTAATTTTTTTTCATTTATACTCATTTATTAAGTTTAATAAATAATTACAAATAACATTTCAATATTTATTAATTAATCGAATAAATCATAAATATAATAAAATTTATTCATATTCAATTCTTTTATAATTTGAGATGAATTAAAAGAAATGGCTAAAGAGGGATAAAATAGCTGTACTAAAGGTTGCCAATTCATAAGATAAATTTTGCCGATGTATGAAGCACATAACTTTTCATTTGAAGTGTCACATGGTGGATTTATGATTTTTTTTTTTTTTGCTTTTTTTTATTTTCTAAAAAATATGAGAAAAAGATAAGGTAGTTTTCCTTTGATTAACTAAAATAATAATGAAATAAGGGTTGATGAAAGATTTAGGTAGTAAATTTTGAAGATCAACAAGATAAATACAACCATCCATCCACAAGACAAAAGTTTGACTTCTCACTAACTTGGCTTTGGTTAGCCACGTAGCGTTTTTTCATCTTTTTTTTTTTCTTATTTTAGTAATCTCTGTAAGGTTATTTTTTAGGATAAAAACGTTGGTTTGGGGTGATTGTTGTAAGTTGTTCATTAGTGTTATGATAACTCATTCATGTGATAAAAAATTTATTGAAAGGTTAAGTGAAAAAATCAATTTGATAGTTATATTATATTTTGTAAAATCAAGAACGTAGTGGTTGATTTTTAAAAAAAATCATAATTACTAAATTTATGAAAGTAGAAACATTGTGCTTGATTGGAAAAAAATAATTTGTTTATCACTATGTTTATGAAAGTGGAAATGTTCTCCATGATTGGAAAACAAATTTTGAGGACTACGTATATGAAGTTGATATGTAGGGTGCGTTTGTTTCGTTGAAAACAACTTACAAAAAATGTTTTACGTGTTTTCGGATGTTTGTTTCACTGAAAATACATGAGTCAACGAAAATTATTCTTCAAGTCAATGAAAAATTAACCCATTTCTAAGGAAATTGTTTTCCTTTTTTAGAAAGGGAAGACATTTTACAAAGCTCCATAAAAAATAAAACACCAACCCAAACCCATAAACACATCTGAAACCTAGGCATCTTTGTACTTTTTTTATCGGTACTATTATTTTTCTCACTGACGACAGCATCGTTTAGCTTATCAGAGTGACTAGGTTAATTGGTATCTTCACCTCTTCCATCCATTCACAAAAAATTTTCAAACCAAAAAAAAATCCTTATATCCCAAAATCAGGTGAAGTCTGCAACAATCTCTTTCAGATCTTAGTTGTTTAATTTTCAACCAGCAAGGTATATTCGATTATTCTTTTCTTTTTAATTGGGTTGCTACCAAAATTAAGCAAAATGCTTGGATTCTTTCTTAAGCTGTGTATGAAATTGGATTGAGCAAAAAGAAAGAAAAAAAAATCATTGTCCAGTGATTATTCTTTCTTTTTTGACTGGGTTATTATTAAAATTAAGCAAAATGGTTTTAGGTTCTTGTTATTGTTTGAGAATGGCAAAGCATGTAAACTATATATAATTAAAAGCAAAACAAATTATATAATATATATTATTTGTTTAGTATTGTCTTTAGAAAAAAAAGACTTTTAATAATTTATTCATTTATTTTTAAAAGAATTCAAGTGTTAATTTCTTTATTTTATAGTTAAAAGATTTGTGAAATAAATATATGTATATATTATAATGGAGGTGAAGGAATTTTCAACTGGAACTAGTGCGTAAAGAAGTAAGATGGAAGAAAGCAATGTACAGGTTCATTTTTTTGTGAAATAAACCTGTATCAATCATCATACGCACCTCATTAGTTCTTGCCTTAACCACGACAATCATTTCATGCATTACTATTTTAGGTTCCTAACTTTTCCTATTCTAGTTTTGTTGTTCTATAGCTAATAATTGTTCTTGTGAATTGAGAAAAATTTTATATAATGCGCAAAACTCAAAAGGAGTACCAACTTATAAAAACCATGACCAACCTCATCTAACACCCATGCCTTTTAGTTTTAGTTTTGGGTTGCAAACTTTTCACTTAACTTTTTTGCAGTGCTTGAGTAATTAGCAATCAAGTTAATGCTAGGCTTGGAGTAAAATTCTAAAGTTAGATAAATTGATATAGACAAAGTTGGTGGGGCATCAAATCACATATCAACGACAAAAATAAATTTTTATTTGTTCTTTTAACCCATTAATACTGTCTAATTGAATTGGATTTAATAGCATTTTATTATTTTAGTTACAACTGTAATGAACTTGTGATACTCCAATTCATATACTATTGTTCAATGGTCTACTATGATTTTATTTTTCAAATGCTTTCTAAGATTTTATATGTAATAACACGCAATAGTTAATTTAAGGCACATAGTATTATCTGTCCCGCATAAACAATAGCTATTCTTGTACCTAGGATACACTAGTCATTTGTTTTAGATATCATTGCTTCATATATCATTGTTCAAATACTTTAGATATTATTGTTCAACGTGTGACCCACATCAAAATTTGGTTCTACTTTCTTTTATTTTTGTTATGGACATTGCACTTTTGATTTAAAGAATTAGCATGACATGTTTGCGCATTTGGTATATTTTATTAAATTTCTTGTTTACTTTCAACTTAAAAACTTCTCATACATTATTTGGCAAATAATATATTTCCAAAATAATACCTTTTTCTATAGATGGATAATAATTCCATCATTGCATCAGTTATAGGTGTAGCTATTTCAATATTAGCTTTTGGGATTATTGTTGTTGATAGATTTAGATCTAAAAACCAAATAGCTCATAAACCTCGTATCAATTGAGATTATATAATATAGAGTTATATTTATAGCATTTTATATAAAAAAAAAAAACCAGAAATGTATTGATCACATAGAATGCGACCAATTGCATTTTTTAATTTATGTGACATTTTCATTAGGAACAATTTGTTATAATAAACTAGATCGATGAATGTTAGAGAGCAAGTGATAATTTTTTTGCATTTAATTAGCCACAATGTAAACAAGTGGTTGGATCAAGATATTATAGATCAAATGAGATAGTTCACCATTACTTTAGGATTGTATTGAGAGCTATTTTGAAATTATATAAGTTTTTCATTAGATTACCAGTTGATTCAACTCTTCTTGAAATAATAAACAACCCAAGGTCTTACCCATGCTTTAAAGATTATATGAGAGCATTAGATGGAACTTATTCGTGCATCTATACTAATTGAGATTCAAGAAAGATTTCATAGTTGTAAAGGGGGAATAACATAAAATGTGTTAGCTGCCATCACTTTTGATTTAAAATTTTCTTATGTACTTATTGGTTGGGAAGGCAATGCATATGATTTTTGTATTTTAAATAATGCACTTGCATGCCCAAAAAGATTTAAAATTTCAGAAGGTAACGGTTAGAATTAATGAATAGTAATACTTTATTTGCACTTAGAATGTATTCAGCAATAATTAAATTTTGTAAACTTGTAGGCAAATATTACCTTGTTGATGCTGGATATGGCATTCATGATGAAATTATATCACTATATTGTCGTATTCGATATTATTTGAAAGAGTTTAGAGATCATCATCCAAAAAATACGAAAGAACTCTTTAATCTTTGTCATTCATCATTGCGAACTGCCATTGAACAAGTCTTTGGGATTTCGAAGAAATGTTTTTGTTTGTTAGATGTTGAACAATTTTGAGACTTTCAGACATAAGTGGATATGATGTTAGTATATTCTATTATTCATAATCATATAATGAGAGTTTATCTTAATTACTTAATTAATCAATGATCACTTAATGAAGATGAGTCTTTAGTAATAACATCAACTCTTACATAGTAAAAAGAGAAAAAAAAAATAAAAAATAGACTACCAAGAGAGAGGACTTAGAATGAATATATGGCTATAACAAAATAATTTGGTTTAGATTTAGACATCAAAATTTCAATGTTAAATGTTATGTTTCAAGAATTTTTTATGTTTTCTATTTCGATGGGATTAAAATTGTTTGATATTGATATTGTTGAAATTATATTCTTTCTAATATTTTTTTAGCATTAATGTTTCTTGTATACACTTGGATGTTTATTTTTTTTTTTTAGTTTTTGTTTATATTTGTTTTTTAATGTAATT